TTTGGTGCCTACAAACAGCGCTACCAACGGCGTTGCACCTGCGCGTTCGTATTGTTGCGTTGGAATGTTTTGTACAGCAGACAAAACAGATGCCTCTACATGAGAAAGGTCCCTTCAAATGAACTACAGAATATTCAATACACCGGCGTTGACATTGAAACGTTCAAACTTCCCAGAAGTAAGCAACCGATCCTTGAAAGGAAGACAAGCCGAGAAGCCCAAGCATGTAACAACAACTAGTAATTAATTTCAAATAGCTCGTAAGTATGTACAAACTAACATTATTAATATAGATGTGTCAAAAGAGCTGGCTAACCGAAAATTAATACATCGAGATATGGAGCAAACGGTAAAACGGCAATGTGCACGGAAGAATGGGTTTTATGTGTGAACACACGCCCCACTGTTCCAAAAGTGTGAGGTCGATGATGTTATCACTGTACGCTGTTACACAGAGCAACCATGAGCTAGCTCACGTCAGTGTTCAAAGAGTGTCAGGTTACCGAAAATACCCAAAGCTATGTGAAAATTAACTTGTATCACGTCTGAAAACAACTTCGGGTACAGCTGTCGGGACGGATGAACTCATGTAGCCTGACGGATCCGGCTAATAGTTTGGTGACCCCTGACATAGAAGAGACACTAACCAGCGTCAGATTACATTTAACCGCTATCAATTCAATTGAGAAATTAACAAATGTGTATGTAATATAGCAATGCTAATAAATGTACGCGAACGATTGACGAGAAAAAAACAGATGAGTGTGTGCGAAATATCGCAGTAAAATTCCTTCTATGCTTTCGAACTCCCTAGAGAAACGTCTAGTATGAAACATATAAAGCGCGTAAAGTATTAGGTTGCAAAGAAAAAAGCCCATTAATAGCTCTTCTTTCAGTAGTGGTCACCTGATCCGGCATCATCTTCGGTTAGGCGGTAGATGGTTTAATATAAATTTGTCTCAGAAGTCTTGTCCCCGTTTACTCTATTACTCGAGGACCCAAAGTCATGCCTTCGGATGTGAGAAGAGCACAGTAAATTGCCAACTGCACAATAGTAGACGTTGGTCTATCTCAAAATGCCTCTCACCCGGTCACATGGATATGAACGACCGGAATGATGGCCGTATGCATGCATCTGGGTACATGTGTACTTGTCAGTGTCGTTCATTGTGAAAACGCTGGATCGGCGTGGATGGTTGAATTGAAGTCAACTACGGCACGTCACAGGGCAAGTTCACCGATCGATAGCTACTGTATTTCGGACTGGTTGGAACAAATGTAAGTGTGCAAAATTAAGACAGCAGTGCATCATTACCGGGCTATTGCGGTAGAAATGTGGTGCTGCTTGGACAGGCCAACCTGACCTGAACAATGAGTGTTCAATAGGTGCTTATTGTTATCCCAACTAATGACGAAAGAGTTATTGGCGACGCAGTTGTAGACTGAAAGTTAGCGTCCAATAACCAACCTTAGCAAAAAAGCATTCCTTACAATTAGGCTTTGCAAATATGAAGTGTGCGTCTTGAGCAAGGAGTTTTGAAAAGCTATGTCGCCTAAGGACTACTCGCTGTCCCATAGCTTATTCTCCCGTCACAGTCTTGAGCGTTCATTCCAACATATTCACTGAGGTGGCAATATTTCGTTAGCATGGAAATGAGAAGCTGCATTTCTAGGCGATATCTAATCCTCGCGGATACTGAGAAGCACGTACTGCACAAAGCGCGAGGCTCATTCGCTCGCAAAACTGATTGACATATCGTGGGACCAATGCACACGTATGTGGGTTCTCACGCATACTGTCCACCACAAGCCTCTGTGTTAACTATTCGGCCACAAATCGCCGCAAATTCCAATCAGCAAATTCGAAAGCATCGATAAGCAAAGCTTTCGTGGTCTGTATTCTTACTGAAAAGTTGTCGGACCATCTTTCTTGCTCCTTAATGTGATCGGTATGTTATTATTTGGAAGCACTCATGCCGTGCATCGCAACATTGTGGTAGTGAAATAAGTTGTTATGCATTATACCTATGTTTCCATGAAATATATTTCATGAACAAAAATGTCAGCGAAGTAAATGTTCAAAATGACCACTCTAGGTTTGCTTGCAGACCAATACTCGCTGGAGAATATTTGCGAGCACTTTCTGTAGTGTCCACCAAGATCCAGCGGTATACGCTGACGAAACACAGCTTCAGTTCCTTCGGTCGCGGAGGTCCCAAGGATTGGCCTGCAGTTTACCAGGTTTGCACCATTTAACTTTCTTCCTATAGTGTTATTTGGAAAGAAGAGCTTACTAGAAAAAGAGTTTCTGGTGTAGGAGCACCCGCCGTGTGACTTGGATTGCGATAAGCAATCTCAATCTTGGTCTCGGTTCAATTTGAAGTCAGCCTCTGCCAATACGGTCGCTTGGTCACCCTTACTAGAGGAGGCCCATTTCACTGGAACAACAGAAAAGCAGTATCTTCAACGAATGTCACGCCGATAACACGGAAACATTGCAAAAAGTTATGTTCTATCGCCTCGGGCGATTTCCGCACTGCAAGCATAACGACGGCGCGCACGTTGAGCATCTGCTTCGTTGAAGGACATATCACCGTTTATGTTGTTTATGCTAATATACGTATTTAAAGTTATCACTGATTTCTGGACTACATTGGTGCACGGGTAAATGGTGGCAAAGTTACGTCGGGCCAAAATGCATTCAACGAGCAAAGCTGATTCGACAGTGCTTAGACTGACCAATTTACGCAATTTGGTTCACTGTCTCAATAATAGTTTTTCATGGTTATGCCTAGGGAATATGGAGATGATTTGAACGAGATAGTGATAAGATAATAGGCTACGCGGTTTAGTATTTGTATCCCGTTCACCGGCGTACAGACACTGGCTTGGGATGAGTGCTTCCAGATAATAACATACCGATCACATTAAGGAGCAAGAAAGATGGTCCGACAACTTTTCAATAAGAATACAGACCGCGAAAGCTTTGACTATCGATGCTTTCGAATTTGCTAATTGGAATTTGCGGCGATTTGTGGCCGAATAGTTACCACAGAGATAACTGGCTTGTGGTGGACAGTATGCGTGAGAACCCACATGCGTGTGCATTGGTCCCACGATATGTCCATCAGTTTTGCGAGCGAATGAGCATCGCGCTTTGTGCATTACGTGCTTCTCAGTATGCGTGAGGATTAGATATCGCCTAGAAATGCAGCTTCTCATTTCCATGCTAACGGAATATTGCCACCTCAGTGAATATGTTGGAATGAACACCCAAGACTGTGACGGGAGAAAAAGCTATGCGACAGCGAGTAGTCCTTAGGCGGCATAGCTTTTCAAAACTCCTTGCTCAAGACGCACACTTCATATTTGTAAAGCCTAATTGTAAGGAGTGCTTTTATTGCTAAGGTTGGTTATTGGACGCTAACTTTCAGTCTACAACTGCTTTGCCAATAGCTCTTTCGTCATTAGTTGGGATAACAATAAGCACCTATTGAACACTCATTGTTCAGGTCAGGTTGGCCTGTCCAAGCAGCACCACATTTCTACCGCAATAGCCCGGTAATGATGCACTGCTGTCTTAATTTTGCACACTTACATTTGTTCCAACCAGTCCGAAATACAGTAGCTATCGATCGGTGAACTTGCCCTGTGACGTGCCGTAGTTGACTTCAATTCAACCATCCACGCCGATCCAGCGTTTTCACAATGAACGACACTGACAAGTACACATGTACCCAGATGCATGCATACGGCCATCATTCCGGTCGTTCATATCCATGTGACCGGGTGAGAGGCATTTTGAGATAGACCAACGTCTACTATTGTGCAGTTGGCAATTTACTGTGCTCTTCTCACATCCGAAGGCATGACCTTGGGTCCTCGAGTAATAGAGTAAACGGGGACATAACTCTTGGAGAAGTTGTTGTTTTATATTTGCTGTTCAAGTTTTATGCCGCAGTGTTTGCGGATTATTTAGTCTATCTGCCGAAACAGAATCGTTTGTCCGTTCATTGGTCCCAGTTTATAATACGCGTAATATGATTTGTGGAATTTTCTAGGTTCTTTCCTGTCTGTGACACTTTTCTTCCATGCGTCGTTTTTCGCATAGCGCCTTTTGGCAACACTACCCAGTTGGTGTAGATTTTTGGATCGTTTACTGTAACCTTTTCCTCACTTCGGATTTCGCCCATTTTGCTATTTTTTGACAAGCAGGGTACCGTGTCTTGAAAATGATCATGCTGATTCCTCCGACCTATTTATAAGAGCGTAGCCGACTTTCGGTGATGAAATTTTTCATTTGCGATGTGGTTCACTATATTGTTGCCGACCTCATTGCAATTCTATTTGAACTATTTTGTTTAGTTCCTTATCCCCGTATATTACCGGTTATGAGCCGAGGATTTTTGGACAATGTTTCATTCTGATAATGGGAGTTCGGCTTATACAATGGCCGTGCGCAATTTTAAAATGTCACAATCAAAACGCACCGAGGAATTCATTACACAAATTTTCACCTTTTCACGATCGCTGGTGGCGGCAACCTCGGACGTCCTGTTTTAGCCTACGATGTCCACGCAGCACTAGTGGCAGGCTGCTTATAACTATACGCCTTGTTATTGGGGCGAAAAGTTTCGGTACATTGCATATTTGATGTTTCTGGACGGATCGCATTAACAGAAAAATACGGGAACGTCTGGAATCCGTTTTTATCACACACAATAACATAGAAAACAAGCCTGACAGAAAAGTAATGACCGTTAGATTTTTTGGGTGTCGGCTAATTTTGCTTACGAGTTTAGACAGATTTGGCATCGCAAAGTCATGCTGTCAGCCTATCAATGGACGGGATTTTATTCGGGAATATACGGTACTTTTAGCCCCACGAATTTCGAGGCAACATCAGTTCGACACACCGTTTCGCCCCCACAAGTATGCACTCTTTTGTCCCCGTATTGTTCGTGTAGTGCTTGTTTTAAATTGGGCGAACCGAAACTTACCTGTCAACTCTTTCGGCCGCTACGCTGTCCGGCGTACAGCCGTTCCGCACTGGTTGTTGTGCATTGATCTCTAATGACAAGGAAAGAAAGCAATTTGTACTCCACGGAAGACGGCGAATTAAAGCATAGTATTAAAATGCATTTTTACACACCTCCAAAGAAGTGTGGATTCTCTAGTGGTCGCGGAGTGCCTGATTTAAGTGAAAAAGTATCTAATTTAGTGTAAGGAGACCAACGGAATAAAAGCAGACGCTCGTTCAAGGCGATAAACATCTAATACTAGATGGCCGTCGACATTGAGTGCGTCGGTACACTGACGTCTCACCCCCAGTTTTCCTTCGTTCGCGATTGTGATTTTGCAAAAATGAGTTAACTAATAAGAATTCCTCACTACGACTACTTGAATAAACTACATATGTTGAGTTGTGCAAAAATGGACCATTAATCATCCTAGATATTTCCTTTAATTGAAAGATAAGTAAGATGTTAATAAACCCAAATCTTTGGAATAGTCATTTTGGAGCACGCATTGTATGGGTGGATTGCGACGAGCAATCTTAGTAAGTTCAAGTTCTGGTTCGGGTGGCACTGGAAAGATAGGAGAACTCCGTGAGTGCTCCTTCTTGAGCGGATCGTTGAGCCGGGAACTTGAAGGAATTTGGTCAGAGAGACCTCAACTGAAACAAACAAAAATATTGCGTCAAGGTTGCACTTCGCAATGCACCCACACAACTCGTGCTTAATATTCCAAACAAGGATTCCAGGTCGTATACTTGGAGTTCTCTAAAGCATTCGATTGTCTGGACCACCGCAACTTAATTTCTCAAACTACGAAGCTATGCAATGGGTGCTAGGTTGGATTTGAGATTTCGCAGCCCTATCTGCGACCCACTTGAAGCCCGGGTAGTGTGTCCTGAGAATTGGTACTGGGACCACCACTGTTTCTAGCATTCACTAACCATCTTCATAAGATGCTGGAGTTGGATTTCTTACTATTTGTAGACGACGTTGTGATCTGGCATTAGATCAAGACAGTGGGCGACCACGTGGCACTATGAAGACATCTGATCAGCGCTTATACATGGTCCTCTGGAAACTGGATCCAGAGTAACCTGGCGGAATGCAAAGTTCTGAGCAAAAGCCACTAGTGTACTCACAAAAACGTCTGGGAGAGCAGCTGCCACACAATGCTACGCAGGAAAGTAACTTCGGATTACTCGTGAAGAATTACATGGCCTGCTCGAAACAGGTCGAGGAAGCATGGAGCAATCGCATCAAGTATATTTGGTAAGTCGAGTGTCATGTTCGTGTTTAGCACATAAAAAATGATAAAGTGTATTTCAGTGGCAAAACATTCAAAAAATTTATTGCCCAGTTATATCAACAGAAACCTCTGCACGTTAGCTGTCTTGTCACGGCAGACAACAGTTGTCACACCGGATAATGAACAATGAACAATGAGTTATAACGGGTAAAAGCATTGTTTGACAAATCCCGTAGGACGAACGGAATGGGGATTATAAAATGATTATTCAAAGTAACAGGAAATGGAAAAGGTTTAGTTTGAGACGACGCACGGAGTTATTTACATGAACACGAGTTTGTCTGCTCAGCGCTACGTGAATGAGAGGGCTGATGATCACTGTTTGCCTTAATTCGTTTCTAGATGGAAACGGATCATGGCATGTAATATACATGGAATAGAGCGTGGTCCAATGGTTTTTAAAAAGGCGTTGATGTGTATGCGTAAATAACATGAGGAGGAAGAGTGTTCCATGTTCTGTATACCTGAATGGAGAAACGTGTTGTCTGTAATCAAGTCGACTGTGACATGTGGTCAGTTTCAGCTGGTGGCCTCTCAGGTTGGTACTGTGGCTGATCTGCAACCGGTCGCAACAAGCGTGGTTGGGGTTAGTTAATATTTGGTACACCATAATAAGGCCTCCTCGCACGTACCGGTATTGGCCGCTGCACAAGCCTAGGTTTGCAGTCTGCGTTGGTAAGAGAGGTGAAATAGTCCCTTAGTGATGTTCGTCGCCCTACGTTGTGGGGCTCCGTGCGCTGCAGCATGGTGTTTGCGCCAAGGCCGCCAGGCAAAGGTAACGTACTCTACGTGGGGCCTCATGTAGACGTTCAGCACTTGTGGAAGCCTTGATGGCTCGTACTTCCCGAACACCCTTCGTATAAGGTCAAGGTACTAACTGGCTCGATGCTTTCTCTGGCCTCTCGATGACAGGCCACCAGCTGAAACTGACCACATGTCACAGTCGACTTGATTACAGACAACACGTTTCTCCATTCAGGTATACAGAACATGGAACACGCTTCCTCCTCATGTTATTTACACATACACATCAACGACTTTTTAAAAATCATTGGACCACGCTCTATTCCATGTATATTACGTGCCACGGTCCGTTCCCATCTAGAAACGAATTAAGGCAAACAGTGATCATCAGCCCTCTCCTTCACGTAGCGCTGAGCAGACAAACACGTGTTCATGTGAATAACTCGGCGCGTCACCTCAAACTAAACGTTTTCCATTTCCTGTTACTTTAAACAATCATTTTATAATCCTCATTCCGTTCGTCTTACGGGACTTGTCAAACAATGCTTTTACCCGTTATAATCATTGTTCATTGTTCATTATCCGTTGTGACAACTGTTGTCTGCTGTGACAAGATAGCTAACGTGCAGAGGTTTCTGCTGATATAACTGGGCAATAAATTTTTTGAATGTTTTGCCACTGAAATACACTTTATCATTTTTTATGTGCTAAACACGAACATGACACTCGAACTATCAATCCTACTCTAGTATTTTGCAATTCGTATTTGCTGCTTTCATCCCTAAATGCCTGGCAATATTCCCTGTATTTCAAGGTAAAAGACAACTTTTAGATTTCGTTGCCTCTATCTTGCACAGCTGTTCGGCAGCATCTCTTTCGCATTTTCATCCACATTCAGCCAGTATGATTGTAGAAAATTTCCCAGGTATGGTTGTTTCATTGCTGTACTACCCTGAGTAAAACGTTCGCCATGTACATCACTGACCACACCGCAGCTGTCTTGGGAAATCCAGGTAGGAATAAAGGAACTGCAGCTTTAAAGATGCATTGATACCAATTTTCGAATGTTGCTTCAGCATGTCTCGAGTTACCTGGTATATACCAGGAGCGAAGGACTCCAAGCTTGTCTCACATCACCATGCAGAAAGTTGCTCAATCGAATATTTCTCGCATCTGCATTCTCATGAAAGCTCCCTCCTTAATCTATGCTTCATTGAGCCGAGGAGATCGTCCACGCAGCTGTCGAAATATTTATGAAATCTGGCCCATGACACTCAAAGTTTATCCAACCTATATGGGGGCGGTAGCAGGATTTGTGAGCCTCGTTTGAAGCTGGCTGGTAGATATTCTCCTCTCCAACTGTTACAATATCTATAACAGTCAATTCCTTCCTCAAGTAATTCAAATCTCTTGTTTAGCTATCCCACTCGTGAAAGAAACATCCATACTATGTAGATACAAGCGACAATCACATTCAAAATATACTTATCTTTTAGATACTATAGAGATGTCAGCTGTACTAGTTATACTCACTGCAATTTAACAGCCGATTAGAGTTTTGTACGTTTCTTTCACGTGGACAGTATGTGGTACAGGAATAGCTGCTATATGGTTTCCAGTGTGAAAAGGTATCACCTTAACTTTGGAAAGTTTGCAAATAGCCTACATTTCTGGGGGTCCTCCGTATTTTTTAATGCATTTATGCGGTTTTTGTTACTAGAACAGAATAACGGACTACCTTCGTTTTCAAGAAAGAGCGCAAGTTGTGGTGACGCTTTCAATGTGAAGTGATTCTGACATCTAGGTGATTCCATTGCTGGTATCTTGAAGGTAGTTATTCCGCATTGTTCTTTGTTAGGTTCAAATAATGAACAGGGCCATTTTGTACTTCCTATGTTATTGTTTGTAGGCTGATGATGCATCGCAATTTTATCCCACCGGAAATAGGAGGAAGTAAGCAGAAATAATAGTCATTTGTGTGATTGCTTACTCTCTCCACTCCAAGGGAGCTGAAAGCCTCAGCGATGGTATTCTTTTATTCAACTACTGTAGAAGTTGGGTTGTATAGTATATTTGTATGGTATAGTATAGTAGTATAGTATAGTAGTATAGTATATTTGTCGCACCGAACACTTGTCTTGGTGACCAATCTCGCCCTCAAAGTGAACATGGTACGCTTTCTTCAACCAAGCAGAGATATTTTTCTTCTGGTTTGCGAATATCATCTCCCCATAAATGTAGCAAAAATTGTCAGCAGGCTTAACGCATTTTCTAGGCATTAGGGCTTGGTAATGCAAATGAAAGAACAAAATATTTAAGTAACTGACCAAACTTTTATCTGGCACTACCACCAAATTTATTCCACGAAGGCTAACATATTTTAAACGTCCCACTTTCCTGACCGGGCTTTAGAGAGCTTGCTGCTGACGTAAGTTTGCTTCTCCAGCACACATGTAGCGATAGTATTGCATCAGCGATTAGGCTACTGAATCTGGATGGTTTGTGCACGATGATTATATACCATATGATGCAGTATTGCATCATTCTAGATACATTTTGACTGTTGCTACGATCCAACCAGATAGATATATACTGCAAGCATGTAAAAGGAACCGTATAAAAGATCGTCATGTTCGTCGATAGCACACAAAAATACTGCTGTTAGAGGATTTAAAGACAGTAACGATCGCATTGTTGACCGTTATATCCCAAATGCATCAGGTTTCAGTCACGGTTCTGATCTCTCCTAGGAGTGTAAATGGGCACCAAACTAGCCTTAGAGAGCCGTGTCACGGGCTGGTAGTGCAGAACCCAGACCATATTCCGTTTGGACAGCTTGTAGCGATGTCTTTGTACATTCTTTGCTGGAAATGTTAGTATATACAACTAATTTTTCCAGGAAACTATTTATACCGCCGATGGACAACCGTTTCTGCACAGTATGTATAAGTTACGTGCACAAACAACCATGCATTTATAAAATAAGTCGCAAAAGATTTACACGATAGGAAATTAGTTGATCGTGAGGGACGTTTGAAATTACAGTGCCCTTGCATAGTAGTACCTAATGAAAATATTTTTGCTAACCATGAATCTAGAGATATCTAGCTTTGTAACTTACTTGAACACCAGTGATAGTATTTCTTTACATCAGTTGCACTAGTTTCGCGGGAATGTAGTACTTAATGACTCATAACTACTTCGTTTGAGCCGTAGACATCAAGTATTTGACATTACGTCCACCTTCATCATTTACCATCCTGCTTCGGATTTGCTGAATCCTTCTAAAGTGCTGCAACACAATAGCCTACGTTTGTGTTCAAGCGATTTCCAGCATGTTAAAGCAACTGTGATAGAAACATTGCAGTATGCCGCAAACAATCGGGTGGTTTTTACTCGCTTCGTTAAATTTTTCAAGCACCTATTTAGCGTAAACTATGTTGGCCCTTCATCAGAAAACAGGTTTCTTCGAAGGACCAACCCTTTACAATCTCATGGTTTGGCGATGAAAATAGCCAATAGTTCGTTAAAGTTTCACAACTGATCAGACCAAGAACTATCCTGACTGGACACATGTAACGTTTACACCTGGGTCAAAATTGTAGCTGCATATTCCTATTTAAGAATGGGATCCAAGGATCACAAAACAGAACAGCCAGCAGCAAATGTGTATGACCAAGGAACAGTGTGTTTCAGACACTAAAGTTTGCTCCCAGGCGTCGAGCCCATATCTAGACTTACAGTTCACCTACCTGACTCATATCCGCTTTGTTCAAGTAATTTCTTCACGTCTTCTTCGAAGTGATTAGCTTGAGGTGATTCTGCGCTGATCCCATTAACACTTCGACGGACGCGTCTGTGGCGCAAACAAGTCTCTTCACATTCAGCCTGTGTCTGGAATACTCGCCCAATGGTACGCATGTTGTGGTCCACCAAGCTACGAAACACTTTTCTCGGTTGACTGAGACATATGGGTACCAGGGTCAATTCGCAGAACCCATCGCTTTGACCCTCCCCTCCGAACTGCTTGTCAGCTGCACGAACTGTTCGGAACCGGTACCCGAGCTCGTGAACGATATCTTCTTTGTCGCAAATGGTTTGTTTGGCCAATTCTCCGGGACCGAGGTCGGAGATTAGAGATGCGCATGGGGAATGGAACTCTTTCACTGAGAGGAATTTGAGGGGAAATCAAAACATTCTGTGTAGCAGTGGTTGCAAAAACTAGGCATTTCATGGGTTACGTCTACATACGAAAGAGGTCATTACTCTCCACAGTTCGTAAATAGCTTGTTATTAAACAGGTGTGTTTCTGCTAACTAGGGAAACATCGTTGTTTGCTCATGTTTAGCGGCCCCGATGATACTATAAAAGTTTATTTATTGTCTTCCTAATTCTATCAGTTTCCAAATTTGGCTTCTGTGTTCGTACAAATAGCGAAACCTGAACATGGGTCATATAATCTACCAGTGTCTACCAAATCGAATTGAGACTATCTGTCGCAGCTAGACTTCAGCAGATAGCCACTGCACATCCAGGAAAGAGCTAGCCGGCCGTTTCCTCATATTGGGACACATAAGTAGCGCGCACTCTGGGTCCTGCGGGATTCGAACCCATGACGCTACCACTACCGGTCAGCGACCAATGAGATTGAGCCATGGGTGAAGGGGCAGGATTACCATAATCAGTTCCTAACTAGCAACCAAATATCGTAACCTGATCAAGTCCAATACAAAAAATCACTAAGTAACTTTATTTGAAACACGTTTAACTTCTAAAACATGAGCTCAAGGTTTAGTTCATTGGCAGCGAATTTCAGTCTGTGGTACAATGCAGCTCCCTGGAACGCTTGTGAGATCAATGACCATTTGAAACTGCTACCGTTGACTTAACCAGCACTGCTACCCAGGTAGTATTCATACTAGTCTGCGCAAAAAATAAATCTTTTGTTTACCGAAAGCAGGCAAATATCACAGTGCTTAAACTTTTGATCCCACTCACACTCTATAAACTCGTTTTTCTAACATAATTAGCCAAATTGCTTTTGCGTCCATAAATCTCAACAGGACCGGTTGGTCGTCTACACATATTTCAAGTAGCCCAACCCGTAATGAACCTTTGTTCATAATCTATGCCAGAAGTGATGTAATCTTGGACAATATGGGATGGGATGTAGAAGCCCAATGACCAGGTTGTTCTTCCTACGTTTCGCACCCATTCTTCTCACATAACTACAACCTACCTGTGCTACTGAATATATGGCTAGGTACTTGTACTTTAGTTCAAACGTTCACGGACTACCTTCTTTCGCTTACGCCCGTGCACCTTTGTGCATGTCAGTATTGTGAATTACCAATCCATAAATTGCAAATGTGTAAATTATCAAACATCCTTTCCTATCCGTCAGTAGATGGAAATTTACCATTTTCCCTTTTATTATTCCCTTTGTGCACAACCATCCGAAGTAGAACACATGAACATAACATTTGTATGTCCGTAGCAAAGTGGTTAATTGAAGCGTCGCTCTAGTCAATCACAATCACGCACTTCATGGTTGACGTGCTGTTCGCAGCTGTCTGTCTCACCGCTAACCCCGAGTACAGATTGCTGTAACTCTGTTGGCTCACTGCTGAGCAACATTGAGCCTACGACTACGAAATAAGTCGTAAACCATTTCCTTAAAATCTGAGATTCCTGCTTTGGAACAACGGTTTACGATTGCCGACACATCGAAGTTTTCTACTTTTGTCCTGGTACCCATGTTGTTCATGAAGCTAGGCTTAGGAAATACACTGTTCCACCCAGCCGCACTTACAAATACAGTTCATTATGTCTCCAATGTAACCGGCTGTCAATCCTCGACCTCAACATTCAAGTAACCAGAAACTTGGAATAAATGCACCGATTTGTTAACGACACAGGTGAAAGGTGTGGTTCAACTTCCAACAAAGCTACCAGCTGATTGTTGAGGGTCATTTTAAAGTACACATTGTGTGGATGGATTGCGACGCGCAATCTCAATGTTGACCGCAGTTCCCATTAAAGTGAACCTTGGTCTTTCGATCACTTAAATGGGAACCGCGGTCGACATTCAGATTGCGCGTCGCAATCCATCCACACAACGTGTACTTCAAAATGACCCTCAACATCGTCCATTATACCGTTGTGCCAAGCGTTGCCAGTGACCCGGTGGCTTAGGGGTAGCGGTCACAATTACCATCCCAATGGTCCCAGGTTCGATTCCTGCCAACTCTATCTGATGAGATGTAATAACATCGAAACGCGTCATAGTAGTGCAGTGTTTTCGAACGGGCAACACCCAATTTCTATTTGTCTCAGCTACGGTCCTCCTGATCGAAAGACCAAGGCTCATTTCAATGGGAATCGCGGTCAACATTGAGATTGCGCGTCGCAATCCATCCACACAACGTGTACTTCAAAATGACCCACAACCTCGTCCATTATACCGTTGTGCCAAGCGTTGCCCGTCATGACCCGGAGGCTTAGGGGTAGCGGTCACAACTAAAATCCCGATGGTCCCGGGTTCGATGATTGCTAACTCTATCGGATGAGATGTAATAACATTGAAATGCGTCATATTAGTGCAGTGTTTTTGGGTGCGAAACACCCAAATTGCTATCTACCAGCTGATTGTTTGCCAGCCGTGATGAATCCACTACCCATCTGGCTGTATGCTAGGCTTAGTCCGTGCCCATAGCCACCATGTATGTGAATCCACCAGTGAACGAATTCGCAAGTATAACCTGGCTGACATCATCCGGTTCAGGATTTGCCTGTCAATGTTATCTTCATAGGACATTCACAGGACGCCTGCATCTACACAGGGACTATGGGGGGCTTGCGCTTCACCACCCACAGCTCCATCCACAGACCCCGTTTCCAGTGTAAACCCGAAGGAATAAGACCGGGAGGCATGTGGATGGGAGCTAGGTTTCATCAACGGAGCCGGCTCACAGTTCCGCAACATATACAGCAGCAACATTCCTGTCTATGTAGGGGAACGTGCATATCAGACGTACACAAAGCTGTCGCTCAGCCGTAGTGCTTTTCACACTGGATGGAACCACACTTTGAGCGCAGCACGGCCACGCGGACTGTGCACCCCTCCCTATCCAACAACAATTCATACCGTTCTGGAGCCAGTAATCTAGGTGGATGGTGTTAGACAGATAGGCACCTTGTCAAAATTCAAATCAAGTGCAGCCACACCGAGGATATCAAACCACCAACATAGAATTTACAGGAAAGCAAACACTCAAAACTGACAGAGAATATGCAGCAGAGTAACAGAATTAAACAAACAAAATACGAAGGAATGAATTTTATCCAGTTAAAATAGACCTAGATTAGGTATAATTTGGTTTAGCCAAACTGCGTTGAAGAAGCATTATAAATGCAACGTTAATATCCGCATCAGGCACACGAACAACATAATGCTTGGCATTTACGCCGATCTCCGGAGCTGTTGAAACAACCTGTGCTGAGGTGGCTTGGGAGCAGACAGGGCTGAGACGTGTGCTGTTTATTGCTTGTTACGTCAAATAATCTCTGGGGAGTTCTAGTCTGATGTTGACTTTGAATTAAATGTTACACTGAACGCACGTCACTAAGTATATGAATGCTCTCATCCGTATGGTACTAGTGGAAAATGTGAACAAATTGGCAGAAATAATCACACCACCACCACGCAAGTAAAATAAGAACCATCGTGGTACGTTAGGGACAGCAACCCATAATCCAGCGCAGGCGCTGATGATCTGCCGGTGGCTCTTCGACTAGCAGAACCTATTCGTAGTGGGAACATACCCACGTACCACTTGTTTGTGCACTTTAACATACGAGTTCCGTGGCCCACTCTTATGCGGCTGCAATCAATGCACAGCAGCGGTTTCCAAACGCACTTTTAAGCTTCACTTTTGGTATCGTGAAAGCTGTTTTTAGTAGGATATCCAGATAAACTACTTACCTGACCTGTTCACAGCTGATTCTTGTGTCACATGCGCAACATTCTTGTCCGCTAGGTGTAGCTGTTCTTCAGTTATTGCATATAATGCATTGTCTTCCGTCGGCAATTCTGCATTGCTGATGACCGCTTCGACGTCGGGAACAAAGACACAGGTAGCATTACATGCCGCTAGGTCGGGGAAGTTGTTCCCATGGGCCAGAATACCGGTGAAGTGGAATGGAAGGCAGCGGTGTTCGAACTGGTTGTAATAGTAACGCTTTGGATAGGTCGTGTCCGCTGAATGCTTCTGTAATCGGAAGATGAGAAGCATGTCAAATAACCAAGATGCGTGAATAAATGTTTTGTAGAAGCTACATTTGACTGCCGAAAAACAGTCCACTATACTTAGTGCTTGACCGAGGAGGCCTGATGATCAGAAGACGGATGTGCGGATGAAGTTGACCAGCGTTTACATAAAAGACACTTGCTTAACCAGTTCACAAATAGCTGAAACTTGCTGCTGAAGATTTAATCTCTTCGATCTTCTTTGGAAGCTGAAAATAGTGGGTTTACTAGAAACATCTTTGGCAATAATAGTACGCCCAAGTTCCTTCACTCGGCTGCTTGAGTAAAGTGTTTTCAATGAATCCCTTTAGAATAACGGATATTGATTTGCAACTTCGAAACCATCTTTGGTAACTGACCCAAACACCGAATGCTTCCGTTTAGAACGATAACGCAATCCACCTGGGTGCCGTAGATATACGTGAGACGAAAAGGGACATGACGACGGCCTTAGAGATAGATACAGCTGGCAAGTACCTGCTCCGGCAGCGTTCTAGGTGCTGGAAGGCGTGTCGTGCCGTTCCCTCAAATGGCAGTTATGATAGGTATCGCGACGCTAGAAATAGATGTAAACAACACTCAAGGGAAGCTCGGCTGTTGTACGAAAAGGGATTCGCTGATACAGCTTCGGAAAAGCCGAACTTCTTCGCTTATTCTATGAGGCGCTGTGGTTCAAATTTGGCAATTTCAACTTTGATGCGGGCCGATGGAACTCATGCGTATGCGGACTCTGACAAGGCTGCTGTACTCGGTTTGCAGTATGCAGGGGGCTTTTGTGCTTGAGGTCGAGCTGACGAGCGTTGAACTTGTCCCCGTAGTCCGACAGATTTCTTATGTAACTGAATTTACGGTGGGGGAGACGTAAGTCCTTAGGTTGCTACAAGTACTGAACCATTCTAAAGCATGTGGGCCTAATTCAATTCACCCTAAGCTTCTGCATGAGTTGGCGGCAGAACTAAGTAGGCAACTAACAGCGGTGTTTCAGAAGTCACTTGACAGCTGTACCTTACTTTCTGAATAGAAGGAGGTTGTCATCTGTCGCATTTTCAAAAATGGCGACAGGAATGTCACAGCTAATTATAGGCCAGTCGGTCTGACAAGCGTCGTGGTCAAACTACTTGAAAATCTGGTGAGAGGTTCATTGATAAGTCACCTGGATAGGTTTCATCTACACAGTAGCGCACGAGACAGATTCCGGGTGGGGTTTTGTCTCTGCCGAACTTGTTGGTTGCGCTTGAAACTTGGCTGAGGCAGTGAACGATGGTCACGTAGTGGACTTGCTTTCGTCGACTTATTGAAGCATTTGACAAGGTAACCCACTTGAGGCTATCACAAAAGCTGAACTCCTACGGTGTATCTGGCCGCGCCCTTCAATGGGTATCTGCATTCTTACAGGAAAGAGAACAATGTGTTGGCGTGAGTCGCAGCTTATCCTTTAGGTAAGAGGTTCTTAGCGGCGTCCCACAGGGTTCGGTCCTTGGGCCGATGCTGTTCTCTATCTATGCAAATGATCTCCCTGGGGAACTTGGGGTGTCATCACTATTGTTTGAGGATGACCTTAAGCTGTAGAATGTCGTAGATGTCCCTAGAGGTACTGAGACCATTCAACATGCCCCGGACAAAGTCTGGGCCTGGTTTAACTTGTGGCTACTGTCCATTAATCAGGCTGTGTTACGTTGTCCGTTTAGGACTAAATGTTCCACCATCGAGGTACGTGCACGGTGGGGTCGAAATGCTAATTTCGCCAAGTAGGTAAACCTAGGCCTCATCCATTCCTCGTCTTTATTTTCTGGTGATAACAGGAAGAAGGCCGCAGAATGTTGTCGTTAATACGCCGTTCTATCGGAGTCTTAAATGCAGACATCTTTGTGAACTGTTCTCAGCTTACGTTCAGCTCCATCTGGAATATTGCGTCAAGACTTGCTCGCCCTGCCTCGTTCGGAATAAAATGGATCTCCAGAGGGTTTTAGAAGTAGATACCAAGTAGGTCGAGGGGTTACGGGTCAAACGTACCCTGAGCGGATACTTAGCTTAGGCATGTATTCATTGCACTACAGACGGGTTCGAGGAGACCTAATCCTTACTTACCTCACTTTAATAGGGAAGGTTTGACCAGACTTGAGCTGGTTATTTAGCCCGGCTAGGTCACCTTGTCTTCACGGTCATCGCATGAAGCTAAAAGAGCCTCATTCCGACGGGCTAAGTCCGGAAATCTGGTTATCGCGTTGAGGTATCGAGTATTCGAACTCGTCTTCAGTGTTAATAACCATAAGCCTTTTCCAACTTTGACTACATATTCTGTGCTTCTCCTCACTCTTTGGTATTATTCTTCATTTAAATACCTCCCTTCCTCTTTATCTTCCAGTTTCCTCCCACATATTACTTACTTCACATTACCGTCACCGCGGGGTCTGCTAGTGCAGATAACGTGGGCAGTAATTGGTTGACCAGGACGTGGTTCGGGTGTTTCGTTTTAGATCCATCAAGAGGTTGTAGCACCTTACCATTTTCTAGCTCAACGATCCGTTCAAGAAGGACTTTTCCTATGGTTCCAGTCCCATTTGAAGCTGAATCTGAATCAAGAGGCGGTTGTGCTGTTGCACGAATTAGGTGGTTTCTGCTAATGTTTCCTCAACAGGTTCACTGATATCGCCGGTGTTTCCCCAGGAATCCGCACTGGTGGTGCTGTACAATTCAGATGCCAAACAACTGCTAGCAAACCACCAGTTGAGTGGACAATCTAACACTTATTCGTGTCCCCAGCCACAAGTATTTTCTGAAAATACCTCAGCTATATTTAAGTTTCACACTAAATTGCAGTTTCTGACAGATCGCTATCCGCTTATACTTTAGATAGGAAACATTATCTTCATGCAGGTGCTGGACATAAACGTGCTTCTTTTATAGAAAGTCACAATCCTCCCCACACCCTTATTGCGTGGGGTGGGATCGTTTCCCATGAAGTTAATTACCTGAATCACTGGCAAGTACATCTCCCTTATAAGGGAACTTTATACCAAGTGTGAATATAAACTTGTAGCACATTGTGCAGTTACAGTTGTAGCGAATCCATATGACATCAAAGTGCAATCCTCACGGATTCGTTTTCTTACGGACGATGTGTATTGAAAGAATGTGTATTGTTTGAGGTGCCTGCCGGTTGAGAAGCTGATCAACACATTTTTGAGGCCTCTGATGATCAAATGCAGTTAAGTGTACCGTGCGATGTGGTCATCAAATTATTGCACATATTTTTCCTCCAGTTCCCTAGGTTCTTAGATTTTGGTGTGGACGGACGATTTCTTTGGTTTCGTATACTGGAAGTGGCAATAGTTTACAACTTCCGACCATCGGAATGCGGAGTGCAAGCCTGTTAGGCTATGCACTGTTTCAGGTTTGTAGATGTTTTCTAAGTATGCAGGCGTTCATTCACACATCTATTCTTTTCTGCCATTGGCTTTAGTGAAAAAAGCACTTTACCTGTTCAACACACAATGTTAATTTGCCGTAGTTATACCTACCCTGAACTAGATCGTGCCGAACAATCTCAGTAAATAATAAAACACTGTTTTTGCCCACAGTAAGACAAACAAGCAAGCTTAGATAGAAGAACCTAATTCACTTTCAACCAGCATCATTTGATTTGAAGTAGCGTACGACAGGTCCGCTCAATTCCACTACAGAAAGAAATGTGCCAAGCTTCCGTAATAATCGTGCTGCTTGAATATGAGCCTCCCGGTAGCAGTCCTCCCAGTATCAGCAGGAGATCGAGTACTTCCTCCTACCCACAAATAGTAGGTATTTGGCATACATGTTCCGTAACAGTTCGCATTCCCATTGGCAGCGGAATCTGTAAAAGACTACCTCGGACATTAGTATAAAAAAGTAATGTGAAATCTATCGATTTGGTCTTTTAGGTCAAAATTGCTTTTTAGCTGCTATTTTACCATCGAAGCGAAAAGCTCTCACCTGTAAAGGAAGCCGGCACACATCTTGTGACACGCAGAAGCTCTCGCATTCGGCTCTGGTCAAAAACCGGTTGGGGTTGCCAAAACAACCACCGTACATGAATGGCCGGCATGTGCGCCAACGCACATCGTAATACCAACGTGCGACAAAGCGAGCACATCCACCGTGATCCTTTGGTAGGCGGCACACATCTGAGAAGCAGAAGAATGTGACAGGTTGTTTTGTTGCACTTTCCAGATGGGGTACAATGGAGTGAATTTGAACAAATCGCTGTGCATACCCGGGTTTTCTGTTTGCCTAATATAGGTCTTAAACGAGCAGAAAATGCTGTTTAAAAAACAATTTTGGTGCACCAGACTATACTTTGACGCAATGCACTAAGTTCAGTAGTCAGCAAAGGTTGGGTAATGATGGGAGTATCCTGATTCTATCAGGATGCACAACATAAAGGTTGACCGTAACAATGTGTGTGCAAGAGATAGAGGCTGAAAAGCTGGAGCATTAGGCCCCTGGTTGTCCATGTGCAAAAGGTGTGTACTGTGATTATTTTGCTGGTAAAATCAATAGTACCAATAATTGACCGTCTTGCAATTTCGAGATTGATCAATACGAGATCAAACTGTCACTTAGTTCGGGACAATGGCCCGCCATTTAGTACACGGATTATTGCTACTCACAAAGAACCAGGAGGAGTTAGAGCCAAGAAGATGAATTCCAGCCCCAAAACCTGGCATATAATATTAACACTGCTGACAATTTTCGAGGGGTGGAAACGACCATCATTTTCTTTTCTGAACGCATGTTAGCCATCTGACTGAGGCTAGCTGTGATAACCCAGGCTCATAACACACCAATGATGTCGTAAAAGTGTACGTTTTAGTCGCGACTTTGAAATTAAAGGGAATACAGCTAACATCATATTGTAGGAAGGCCGAGGCAAACGACTATTTGGGAACCGGAAAGACAACAAAAACGGGATACTAGGGATTACCAACAGGCTCAATGGATGAGGCAAGACAACGCAGTGCGAGCCTTGCGGATCGAACCGAGGGCGGATCACGAGCGCCCTCTGGTAACAAGCCTGGGCCCAGAACAACGAAGGAGGTATTTATCAGGAACGCAGTGAATCAGACAGATACGCAGCTAGCGAAGTCCAGGGGGCTGGACTCGGACTGAGTGCTGCAGCCAAGGTAAAGCAAATGGCGAGCTTTCGCACGACTCCTGACTGACCAGAATCGGATTAACGAAGCGGAGAGATAAGATGAACAATGGAGAAGTTGTTCATTAGGCTCAAGCTCGTAATGCCCGTCTCCAAAAGCCTCATTTGCGGTACGTCGTGAGAAGTAAAAACGGTTCACATCTGTACTAGTTTGTGAGTGGTCAATGTGCGCATTGTTGTGGCAATACACGCTGTGCTCCCTTCCCACGTCATTCTCGCTACAATATGAGCATTGAGCATATGAACATTATATTTAAGGGGAATAAAAGCTCGAGCTTTACATGACCCGTAGGGTAAAAAGAGTTCAGACTGGGTCTGATGAAAGGCTAAGCAACCTTATAGTGGGCTTGCCTCGCGTGTTCGCCGTATCCTCATCGGGTTTATGCGGCATTTAGACAGAATGCACGCCGGCTCAAAGTGTGACATTGCACCACGCTCTCCGAAACGGATATGAAAAGGAGTTATGTAGAAAATAATTAAAGGAAAGAAACTCCATCAAGTAGAAGGTAGTTATATCATGAAATATCGCGGTGTAGCTCGGCCAGATGACAGTCCAGGCGAGTCTTATAAGCCGCCACAGTGGGTACCAAGACTAAATCGGCAGGCAGAGCATTCCACTGTCGGCAGATTCGCAAATCGAAGTAGTGTCGTCTGCAGCTCAACCGACTGTGCTAATGTGTCAGCCTCAGTGGGTGACCACGTAGGTGGGAGCATGATTGGTGCAATGTGAGTAGGTGGCGACAGGGATGTCAAGGGTTGGATAAGATCATATATACAAGGATCAAGTCGCCCGGCGACGTCGGTACTTAGACGAATAGAGGCTGAGGCAGTGAAGTCTTTGTGGATAATCTAGGTGCTTGAGATCTCGGACCTGTTTTGTCTGGCTTCGAGTGTACGTTGGTCCTTCAACAACTAGGGGCTCCCAGCCTGAATAGCAAACTCCAAGTGGGATCAAAGAAAAGCGTTGAGGAGGGGGTGGAAATTGCTAGGGTCAATTTGACCGGAGGCTCGTTTCAGCAATCCCACCGTGCGGTTAGTAGCAGCAGCAGCTGCTTTCAGGCAGGAACCGGATACGGAGACTCTTCTGGATAATGAGACCCAAGACTCTTTCTGCTGAAGGGGGTTATCGTGGCTTTGCACGTGTGCAGGGAGGAGGATAGGCAGGATAACGTTCGTTTGCTGAAACAACAGATTTAATCATAGGAAATGTATGTCACCGGACTGACAATATTGTCAAAAGGTTTTGGACAAAAGTTCTGCCGAAAGCAGCTGGCGGTACACCATACTGATCACAAACCAGCTTGAGCAATTAAACTGTTTAAACTTTCTCTTTTGGTCACCAAGTTTTCGATACCAAGGAACCGGCCTGGATTGTGAGACAAAAGTACTAGCCCTTTTAGTGTCCATTGCGCTTATATAAATAGACAACACTGTTTCGCTACTTTACGCAGTGAAACTAGCAATTACCTACACACTCATTAACGCATTGCTCCGTTTTGACCCACAGCAACGATGAGTTACGAAGCGTTTGTCACCAATTCGCCGGGCTCAAAGAACGTTTCGACCATAGACCGAATTACCTGAGTTACCAATAATTGTTTCTCTGGCTTAACCATATCCAATTTTTCAATCCATTCTGACCAGGTTGTTGCGTTTTTATGAGTAAACGGCACTTCGTGCAATAACGTAAAACACAATATGTCACTGACCATTCTTGCTCATGAGTTTGAAGACCTAGTGAGTGCAACAGAACCCACAGAGCATCTTAATTGATGGTAGATACTTTTCAGTGGGCGATATGCGACGGCAACAATCTACCAGGCCTGAATACAAGTTGCAGATATTGTGAAAATCAATCTCCGTTACCATGCCGGATACTTTAAATATGCAGTGTTTGCCTGCTTGAGTCCAGTTGCGATAAGGCTACTTTGAACAACGAGTATACCAACTTCATTATTATCCTCCAAAGCTATGCTTAATGTTCGGTAAATGTGAGTTACTCGTCATGAGGACCGTACCAAATCAAAGTGGTGACAATCTGTCGAAAACTACCCCACCGCTTTCCAGGTACACTGCAGCTAGTTTACTTGGTAAGAGGAAGGCGCTTTGAAAATGTAAGCTTCGCTTTCGCTTTCAGTTGGGCATCGTGGTCACAGAAAATAGTTATCGCGAAATTGTCACTGCTTTGGAGTTCCAGTTAAGTTCTGTCTGCAAGATCAAACTGGGACACAATATTTCAGCTACAGCATGTTACACAATGGAACAACTTTATAAAACTGAGCGTAATTATGCAAAATGCAACCGAATCTGTGGTGAGTAAAATACGCAGTATTGTAGGTTCGCGTGTTCAAAGGCCCCAACATGTATGTACTGCCGCGGTTAGTCGAATTAAAAATCAAATTGAATGAAATTTTCCACTAAAGTAGCTTATTCCGTTGATGAGGTCTAACGCGACATCCCGTTTCCTACAGATGAATGCGATGGGTGAAAAGCCACTATTTTGACTTTGACCCAGCTGCATATGGTTGTGCGTGAGTCGATGTAATTGTCTGATCAGGGATACGAGTACACAGGTCCCGAAAGAACTGTAAGGTTTATTCACCACATACAGTGGCATACTAATCAAGTACCTAGTAACTGAATTCGCATACCTTTGATTAGTGTAACGATAAAGCGGATAAATGAACGACCGTTCCGGTTATTGAGGTTCGAAAGACATAAGATTGAAGAAGCGAAATGGAATTCTAACAGAGGGGAACGCAATCTCTGAGACAACCGTATGGCAGTAACCAAGTTGAACGGATTGAAGTATATCCCCACTTTCTGACAGCTTAGTTTCGCAATAAGAAGCAAGTCTAATATGATTAGCTTTGTAGGCATGTTAGTTAAATTTAAAAAGACGGTGAACGTTGGTGTGTGAACTGGTTGGCTCAGAGTTGCCTAGGTATCCGCGCACCACCTGTTGGAACATAGAATATTGATATTTTGTAGCCACAAATGCACAAATTACTCGTGTTTATGTTACGATTCTTGTTGGAAACTCCATTGAAAACAGCCTTATGGCACAACATTTAATTTGGCAGATAAGTAAAGAGATCTATGAGCGAATGGATTGGCAGCCATTCCTGCTCGTTTCGAGACCACTGGTTATGCAAGCGAGATAGAAATAGACTATGCACGGGGTTGCGAAAATCTCGTACCAATCCACAAACTGGTGAAACGGAGTTAACTGTGTACCTAGCAGTACGTTCCTCTTCACGTAATACTATTGGACCAGCAGCTCTCGAAACATATGCCATAGGCATCAAGCTGGCTAACTATCATTTTTATTGTAAATGTTGCGACCATATTGTGGACGGAAAGGGGCCACATCTCGTGAACCGCTAGTCAAAGTGAATGCAATGTTTTCGGCGATACATTGAAGAGAAGTGACGGAACTTCAAGCAGGATTATACAATGCTTACTCCAGCCAATGAGTGAGAAGGTGCTATTTTGGACGGTAGTTTTTGGCACATAACAACCCTGTCTGGCCATGATCACAATGGAAATGACCTACAGCATTCACCGCAGTCAGTTTAGGAGCAATGATCTGAATAGCTGACCGTTCATTGGCACTCTAATTAGAACTGATGGTTATGAGAAACAAGGCATTGCTTGATCAAGTATAAAAGGGATCTTCTCAAGTGACGATTGTAACACTTATACTGTTCAGGTGTAATCACTTGGCAAGCAGAAGAGCGGAAGCATGTTGAATGTTTGCATGCGTGTGAAGTTTTATTTCATTGTTGCACTAGCAATGAAGTACACAACAGTGGCCGTCGTCGAGACCGCAACACTTAGCATCGCATAAATTCTTCCACCTGATTCCAGTTGTTGCTTGTAATTTTCATCTTTCAAATGCATGTGTTGAGAATCCCAACCATACTAAAGTGACGGATACTCATTCTCAAACTATTAAGTGATTGTTTTACG